TGCGAAACTTTATTTGAAGATTTCAATTGATCCACTGGAAGGTTGAAATTTTCGAATTAGAAGTTCATTTGTTTCGAATAAGTTTCGCATTCATTTTTACCAGTTTTCAAATGTTGTCACTTCAGATCTGATAAAAATTGCTTGAATTTTCGTAAATTGAAGGGACCTCTGCCAGTCGGTAATCGTGTGCTGAGTAAGAGTGCCGAGCAGACACGTGCCTACGCGAAGGCACTTCGCTACACCGAATTACACATCCGCGACAAACTCAACAACAATCCCGACGCTGAGCACTGCACTGCGCTCATTACGTCGGTTTTAGTCGCGAATTCGCTTTTTATTTAAATTTATCGATTACCTCAATAAAACGTTTCATTTTAAGATTCGATACAGCTTCGATTGAAACGAATGAATAATTTTCTCTTCTTTCAGTTATGCCAACAAACTGAACGTGCAAGAAGTGGCCGCTGGTGTTGTGGCGTTGGCCGAGAAACGTAATATACAAATAAGTGTAAGTTTTGAATTTGAGTTAATTTGAGTTCAGAACTAATTGCTGAAGATTTTGTAATGATTTTAATGAACATTTGAAGGTATTAATTAAATGAGTGATTTTTATGAAGATTCAAGTTTTTCAATGCTGAAATTGATCAGTTACTAATCATCTGAGGTTAAGTTGGTTTGTTTTGAGGTGTATATCGTGAGGGATTTTTGAAATTTAAACGTTTGTAATATTAATCTCGATAACTGAATGAGAACGAAAATGTTTCAGATGCAAGGTCGGTGGTATGAAAAATTGAACGATTGGGAAAAGGCATTGGAAATGTATGAAGCTGAAAAAACAGTCAACGATGAAGTTAGAATTTGAGAAAAACTTTTAATTTCAGTCCGAATTATTCTTTGAGCAATTGGTTTTTTGTTCGAAACGATGTCAGTTCAGATTGCAGATTGCATTTGTTTAATTTATGTCACTACCAAAAGTAATCTTGTAGAATATTGTGAGTTGTTAAGTAGACTAATGGTGATATTCTTTGCGTCAGAGTAGTGAAGAAGGAACGGTAAAAATTACAATTCATTATTGGAAAGTAAAAATTCATATATATTGAACATAATTGGATATTGAATAGTAACTGATTAGTGTATTATTAGTTTTATGTATTATATTATATAGTAATAATTACATGAAAAAATTAGTATATTATATTGAATATGG